GATGCTGCCTTATTTGTTGTTGTTGTTTAGTCATTAAGTCATGACCCCAGGGACCAGAGAACGCCAGGCCCTCCTGTCTTCCACCGCCTCCCGGAGTTGGGTCAAAGTCATGTTGGTTGCTTCGATGACACTGTCCAACCATCCTGTCCTCTGTTGTCCCCTTCTCCTCTTGCCTTCACACATTCCCAACATCAGGGTCTTTTCCAGAGAGTCTTCTCTTCTCATGAAATGGCCAAAGTATTGGAGCCTCAGCTTCAGGATCTGTCCTTCCAGTGAGCACTCAGGGTTGATTTCCTTCAAAATTGATAGGTTTGTTCTCTTTGCAGTCCAGGGGACTCTCAAGAGCTGCCTTATACTGTCACACTATTGGCCCGTCTAGGACACTCCTGTTCACACCTGACTGGCAGTTTCTCTCCAGCTAGCTTTTCCCATTATTTTAGCTCAAATGTGGGCAGTTGTGGTTCTTCAGCTAGTACTGGGCTGTATCTCCCATCAGCCCTAAGCAGCATTTCCCGGGAATTTGGGATACTGGGAGCTGTGGTCTAACAGCACATCTGGAAGGATAGAGTACAAAGTCTGCTGCTTATACAATATATTGCCTCACAGTGCTTAAAGCATTCTCTGGGCGGTTTACAAATTAATTATGCAGGCTACACATTGTGCACGCGCACCCTACAATCTGCATACTCAATTTCCCAACCTCCGAAGAATGGAAGGTTGATTCTACTTTAAGCCGAACTACCTGAGTCGAGCATCAAACTCAAGTCATCAGGAGAGTCTGAACTGCAATACTGCAGTTTAACCACTGTGCCATATACCCCATCCCCCTTTTAGATCAACAACTGAACCTGGGATCCTGTAAATGAAAACTATATCCACAACCACAGAGCCTTCCCATACGGTCTCTTCTCTGGACAACATGTCATGCAGTTATTAACGCTTACAATGGCTGACTCTTCTTGGATAAATTTTCAATGATCTCTGTATTTTTAGACATTATTTCCACAGGAAAAAATATATATCCTTTCTTCACAGGAAAAAAACACCATGCCCTCCTTTTCAGAATTATAGAACAAGTTTCAACACCATTAAAGGTAATAATAGCTGCTGGGTGTTTTCTTGCTGTGCCCACAGATTGCGTATAGGAGGAATTGAAAGCATGATCTACCATTTGGGTATTTCCTGCAGGTGACGATGACTCAGTAAGCAATAAAGGTGGCACAAAACAGTTCAGGTTGGTTTAGTGGAAACTTGGGATCAGCCCAAACCACACAAGGTATAAAATGCATGTGCAGAGTGTTTGCTTTCTGAGTATTTCTTCATCTCTCTAGGTCAAAGACGCCACCTTTATTCCCTAGGCGGCAGCTGCAGGGTTAAAAAGATATGACGTTCCAAGCCAGCTGCTTTGCCTTACATTCAGCATCCTTTCACAAACCTTCCCCTATTATACACCCTCATCCTTTGTTAAAACACTCTTCTTCTATTGCTGATGAACTGCATTTAAAAACAAGATCAATGCATTAATGGAGAAGGTCCATCAAGTGATATATTCCTCAGTTTCAAAAGCATGGGCTTTCAGACCATCGGAGCTGTTTCTATGCATTTTTCAAATAGAATGGTTCTTTCACAGTGGATAATGGCTATCTGTAATTAATTTGGGGGGCCAGAGGGGAATTGTAGTCACTACAGGCCATGAGAAGTTGTCCATCGCTGACTTCGCAGAAACAGCCTAGTGTCACAACTGTGCCAAGGCCGGTGCATTCTAGATTTTGTGAATGCTTTGCTATTCACCACCCACCTCTCTTCACCAATGTTCATGCACGGGGTTGATGTTGTCCTACCTGAGGATCCACACTTGGACAATTAGTTGGTTCTTAGCAAATAAGATGTACTGTTATGATCTGTCTAATGAGCTTTGGGGGAAAGCATGATCATTATTGCTATTCCGGTGCCACTCTATATATGAGGGGGTGCTGGTAAGTATTGAGCTGGTGCCACTCTATATACGAGGGGGTGCTGGTAAGTATCGAGCCTTTCCCAGAAAAAAAGTGAGCTAGGAAGCTGTAACTGCCACACTATTCTACATATTCCCCCAGGAAGCAATGCACTTGCGACATCTGTCGTCCTGCAGCTTCTTAAGTCCCTACAAATAAAATTCTTCCGAATGCTGGTGTAACCACTCATTTACAGCATTAGTTGCTTCCAGAACACTCCCAAATCATTGTCCCTTTAGGTGTTTTTAAGTTTGGGGAACAGATAATAGTCAGAAGGAGCCAGGTCGGGAGAACAGGGTGGATAGGGTATCATGTGAAAGCCTAAGGAGGTCAGGTTTGCCATTGTTTCACCTGCAGTATGTGACGAGTCGTCATGCAACGGGATGACACCTGTGGAGAGCTTTCCTCGATGTTTTTCCTTGATGTTTTGCCTCAACTTCATCAATAAAGCACAGTCATATTTTGCATTGATGGTTGAACCCTGTTGGAGGTAGTCCTCCAGCAGAACTCCCTTCTTATCCCCAAAAAACTGTTGCCATTTGCTTCTGCACCGACCTTTGCACTTGGAACTTCTTTGGCCTGGGGGAACCACTGTACCTCCATTCCTTAGACAGTTCCTTTGTCTCGGCATCATAACAGTAGATACATGTCTCATCACCAGTTACCAGTTTGCCCAGGCAATCTGATTCATTTCTTGCAAAAGGTTCCAAAACAACCACCGATGACTCCACACGTTTCCTCTTTTGTTCGGTTGTCAAAAGGTTGGGGATCCACTTTGCTGCCAGCTTTCTCATTTCCAAGTCGTTGTGGATAATGGCACCAACTCTCTCACGTGATATTCTCAGATATATAGCAATACTTTTGGCTGATATTCAGCAGTCCTCCATGATCATGTCATGGATGGCTTTCACATTTGCAGGCACAGAAACAGGCCTTCCATTGGGTTTCTCACTTTCAACACTGAAATGGTCAGTTTTAAAATTGAGAACCCAACATTTAACTGTTAGGGCCACTGCTACCCATAGTTTGTGACATTTCATCATGGATCTGCTTTGCACCTTTCCCTTGGAGAAACAGGAACTTGATTATGGTCCTATGCTCTTCCACATTGAACTTTTCTGGAGGTGCTGCCATGTTCACTTTGGACCTGAACATGAAAGATAAGTTAAAATCATATGTAGTTGATTTTTGCACCATTGAATACAGACAAATTGGCCAATACAGCCTGCAATTTATTGCTTCCTGGCTCAATTTTTTCTGGGAAAGGCTCAATACTTATCAGTGTACATGAATACCCAGAAGTACTTCTTAGTAGATTAAATAGGATGCACTCCAAGATAATTGCATTGAGGATAGACCCCTGAATTGATTGGTCTTATAAAATCTGGGCATTTAATTAAAAACCCAATTTAATTATCTGATAGAGCTGATTAGTGGAAACATATCTCTGTTTAATCTTCCTGACCATTAAGTCCATTACCATCTGGCTCTCTCTTGTGCATCTTGATTTCTCATTTTCTATTCCCTGATCTCTGCCTTCTGACTAAATATGTATCAGTCTTCAGTCTAACATAGATGTAGGACCTCCAAAAAGTAGAAATGAGAATAGGTGCCATTTTGAACTACAGCTCCCAGGATTCCAGAGCCAGCAGTAATGGGATTCTGTGGAATTCTGGGAATTACAGTCCAATGGTAGTTCTTTTCTCTGTCTGGCTGAAAAGGAACTACAGTATTTGGTTCCTTGTTTTTGCTCTGCAGATTGTTCACTATAAATCAATGGGAAACATTTGTATAGGAAGGCGTACATAACTCACAGTATTCAATCTGCTGTTCTATATTAGTAACATGAATAATTAAAACCAAGCTTTGAACTGAAAAGCTCATCAATAGATTTTGGCTACATAACCTTTTGGTTGAAAGAGGGTTCAGGAACTCATTTATGATTTGAATCCTGCCAACGACAAGCTCACTTCTATATATACTTTGAATAACTGTTTACACCAACTCAGTGTTTTCTGCATTTTCAATATGTCCAGACCAGCTTTGTGATGGAAAGAAAATTCTGTTATACCACTATGAGAAAAAAAATTTTATAAACCATATTAATTAAGTAATGTATGGATGACAGGCACATAGGATTTGTAATTTGGTCTCCTGTACAAAATTGAATTTTTTGAGACAGAATCTACAGAGCTGTTAAAGTAGTCCGGAAGTTAATCACTACAACAGATGTTGAAAAGATGAAATTGTCCAGAAATTAATCCAAACCACGAAATGTAGTTTCTTGGGCAGTGGTTCCCAACCTTGGGGCCCCAGATGTTCTGGGACAACAAATCCCAGAAATCCTAACCAGCACAGCTAGTGGTGAAAATTTATGGGAGTTTTAGTCCGAGAACATCCAGAGACCCAAGGCTAGGAATCGCTGGTCTACGGGATATCCAGAAAATAGAAGGGATAAATGACAGTGGAAAGAACTAAGTAAGTGCCTGAAGTTCGCAGTTCTTTCTGTATACCATAACGTTTGCTTGAGATTCAGTTTGAGGGGCACTGCACCATTTGTGATCACATCCTCAATAAATTTCTGCCTGCTTTGGTGAACAGCTCTGTTTGAGATTTATTGTGACTGATTTATTATTTTAAAGATTAATTAATTCCTGACACCACCATACCCAAAGGCCTGCCTCCATTTTCTTTGCAGCTGGGATGACAAATCAGGGGCACCGCTTTTTCTTTTATTTCCCTTTCCTTTCCACTTGTTGTGCCCTTCTCGGTTTGACCACTGTGGAAGGTAAAGGTAAAGGTTCCCCTTGACATTTTAGCCAGTTGTGTTCGACTCTAGGGGGCGGTGCTCATCCCCGTTTCCAAGCCGTGGAGCCAGCGTTTGTCCGAAGACAATTTCCGTTGTCACGTGGCCAATGCGACTTAGATTCGGAATGCTGTTTACCTTCCCATCAAGATGGTACCTATTTATCTACTCGCATTTACATGCTTTCAAACTGCTAGGTTGGCGAGGAGCTGGGACAAAGCGACGGGCGCTCACTCTGTCATGTGGATTCGATCTTACAACTGCTGATATATATATATCTCACCACATGTATGTATGTATGGGGAACCTCGCAAGATGATTTTTTCACAAGACGATTTTTGTGGAACGAATTAAAATCGTCTTGCGCTGCACCACTGTCCTAGAGGCAAAGAGTTTCTTGGGTCAAGGCCATACTCTTCCCAACCACACTTTGAAAAAAAAAACAATACTGTGAAGAATTTTATTGTTATTTAGAATAGGGGTGGAAAGGAGGCAAATTACAAAAGAGAAAAATCTTCTAGATTAGTAAGTCAACTGCAGTGAATGGGAAAAGTCCAAATCACCAAAAAATGTTGATAAAGTTATTATCTTTTAGTCTTGTTTCTTCTTGGCATATACTGTATATTCTCATTTTAATCTATAAGCTATTTGGATGCTTGTCTTTAAATGTTTGAAATAAGCACACATTTCTAGCATGATCTAGAAAGGCTGAGTTTAGCTTGGGCTCAACATTGCACAGGCAAAGCTATACGCAACACTGCCAAAGGTCTGAAATGCAGATACTGCCCTTTCGATAAGAATGTATTTTTAAAACCAAATGGTATGCTTCTGCATGGGGATCTGATCAGGACTGTGATGGGTGGGAAGAGGAGCGTTAAGCCTCCTGACTCTTGTGTATTGTGGGTTTATTAAATTACACAGGTGTCCTTTAAGTTTGACTAAGTGTGGCTCCAACATGACAGGTAACATAAAAAGAAAAAATCATGATCCTTTACTGAAAGCAAGAATACTGGGGGGAAATGGTTAAATCTTAAATGTAAATATGCATACACATAGTGTACTGTTGATATGTATATGTGTATATCTCTCATTTACCACCCAGTGTCTGTTTGTGTATATTCACATATATGCAATATATACATATGTGCAATACACAGTGTCTGTCTGTGTATATATACATATGTGCAAACACACAAATGCAGTATTATCTCCAGGACCGGAGCTGCCTACTGCAGGCTTTCAGGCCACTGCCCTCTTCAGATAAATTAATGGCTGATTAAATGCATGTTCTGATAGATCTCCAGTATCAAGAGAAACGGTCCTCTTTATGTCAATAGCTGGAGAACACAACATGAAAGCTGCTTTTGGAGTCAGTGTAGCTGGCAGGCTTTCCAGAGAGTCCCTAAGGATCATCCAGTGTGGCTCTTTGTGTATATGCCTTTGTTTATATATTTGCACAGAATGACAATTAAAGAGAAGCTTTGTTACTAAAAAGAAAAAAGAAAAAGAGAGACACAGCCCAACAGCCTCCTGCCACAGCTTTGTTATGACATTTTGCTTTTTTTTTCATCCGTTCCAAAAGACAGCGTGTCATGGAGCTATATTTACTCTTCATGGTTACTGTCCAGCTTTGGTAGACAGTGTGACTGAGAAACCTAGCAGTCCTTTCCTGGAAATTAAGGATTCTACCCAGCTATGTTTTAAAAGATGTTTCTAGCCCTTTGAACTGCATTGACGGGTTTCTTTGTGTTCAGCTGTACACTATGTGCTGTCGATCTGCAAGCAGAGCTAATTTCTCTGCCAGAATCCCACTCAGTTATGTAACAGTACAAAGCCAGTGCTGGGAATATGTGAATAGAGTTTGAAAGGTTTATGTGGCAATCTGCTTAGGTGAGGTATATGTTACAGGCATTTAAAAAGACGTCATTTCATGAAGGAGTATTTAGGTCCTTAAGCCACCCACGGGTCTGTAATGCCCAGGGTGATGAAGATTCCTACGGGAGGCTTCCATGGGCAGAGAAATATTTTCTCTTGAGCCTTTTTTGCTTTTCGTGTGCACAGCTTGGGGAGGGAGGGAGCACAGATAGGCAATAACCTAAACCAAAAGTTTGTAATTACAAAATGCATCTATTCTGTACAATCATTGTGCAGAGGCTGAGTGACTAGTCTGATGAGAATTGTTATAGTTCATTTTAATTTGCAGTTGTGTTGTGCCATTGTTTAATTTGTTGTTTATGCTGTGTTTGCTGCATACAAGTTGGGGGGAAGAACTGTTGCACTGTATTGCACGTCAGAGATATCAGGATGTTCTTTACGTAACAGGATTCCTTTTTCATTTTGGTTTTCAGATTAACCATCATGGGGAAGTGTGTCGCGGTGTGCTGGCTAGCCATTTTCTTGATTTTGCTGCAGACTGATGTGACTCTTTCCAAAAGGAAGCCCAAACCCAGCGGGGGTGGCTGGAATACAGGGCAACGTCCTGGCTATCCCCAGCAACCTGGATATCCTCCAGGCCAGCGCCCCGGCTATCCCCAGCAACCTGGCTACCCACCACGACAACCTGGGTACCCCCAATCTGGTTACCCACAACCTGGTTATGGAGGTGGCTACGGAGGCGGCTATGGAGGTGGCTACGGAGGCGGCTACGGGGGAGGTTATGGTGCCAAGCCATGGAAGCCTAAGCCACCCAAAACCAATCTGAAGCACATGGCCGGAGCAGCTGTCGGAGGAGCTGCGGTGGGAGCCCTTGGTGGCTACCTCTTAGGCAGCTCAATGGCCAATATGAACTTTGGATTTCGCGACCGCTCGGAGGAGAGGTGGTGGTACGAAAACCGTAATCGCTATTCCGACCAAGTGTATTATCCAAAGTACGACCAGCCTGTTGGAAGAGAAGTATTTGTGAGAGACTGTGTGAATATCACAGTGACGCAGTACATTGAGTCCACGGGAAACCAAACCTTCGATGAGATGGAAAAAAAAGTTGTGCCAAAAGTGGTACATGAAATGTGCACGGAGCAATACCGGCTGATATCAGGGGTTGCCCTGTTCCTTGCCAACCCTTCCATGCTTTTGATCATCGTGTTGGCCATTTGTTTCCTGATACACTGAGAAGGTACTCCTTCAGCCTTCCCCAGGTTGCTCTCGCAGTGATGAGAAGGAGTGGGATCTGAATGAAGCCGTATGGCAGGGAGAGGACATGCTTGCTTATTTACAAGAGCTGTTACATCTGCTGAACTCTCTAGCCAAGTTAATATATTCCTTTTTGTAGCCGTCTTTTGATTCTGTTTTAAGTGATAAAAATTATTTGTAGAGAAGGAGGACAAGAGATTATTTTGTTCTAAAGGGGGAAAGCCCTAACCATCATGCTAATCTCATCACGTTTCATAGATAATCATACATAATTGTGTGTGTGTGTGTATATGTGTCTAGAGAGAGAGAGAGATAGACACATATATATGCACAGAGAGAGAGAGAGAGGGATGAAACATACAAATCCTACTCCCATTGTATTGACTGCCCAGATAACAGTTTTATAATGCTATTTCATATCCTTCCAGAGGGGCTAGATGTAAAAGGCAGATTTTTCAGACTATATATTAGCTTCCCCAAGAATGAGTTCCAGTGTAATGGAAGATATGGGAGAGGGAGGCAGGAAATGCAAATGACACATGTGTACATTTCAGGGTTTATGGGAGTTGTAGTTGTAAACATCTGGAGAGTACTCCATTGGCTACCTTGCAGTGGGAACATCTGCATCTCATCATGGAGGAGGAAGTGTATGATGCCACTTTTGGCATTACTTTAAAAAAAATTAGAGGACCTGTTGTAGCTTGTATAACTGCCTCAAGAGTGTAGCTGTGACCAAAAAATGGGAAGTTCACTAATTAAAGGAAACATATACCCCTCCCGTGTTACACAAGGCATGAATCTTCTCTGAGGTTTCCAGTTTGATAAGATTCCAGAAGCAGAGTCATTTTAGCCTAAAACTGAGATGACAAGCAGTGGCTGGAATTTGGAGAAGTAAAGGGCCCGTAGACCCCCAAATGGTTGACTTGCAGTCTTGGTTTAGTTCTTTAGATGACCAAGTTGTTGTGTAGGAAAAGCCAAGTGTTCATGAGCTGCCTGTGCTTGCTGCAGGTCTCCTAGATCTTAAGTAGCAAAGAGTGAGACACCCAATGCATGCAGATTTTGTCTGTTTAGTAACAAAAGGACCTACACAGCCATTGAGCCCTTAATGTTTAGTTAGTGTAACCCATTGCATCTAGATCTTTCCAGGGGTAGGTGTCTACACTGATGGGAGTATTGGTCTCCCATTATGTCAGGGGATTTGATCAAGGTGAAAAACCTCCTTGATTTTATGAATTGTCTGTCATTTGCTTCTGATGAAACCAAAATCTCTTGTCTCCTTTAGGTGAAAAAGAACTCGAATAGAGTTTTACTATTGTGGATCAATAATTTATTCATACTGGAAACACTTAAGGAAAGTGGATCTGTTAAAATGCTGTTAGTAATCACAAAAGTACTTAAGAGTTTCATAGATTGCCAAGAATAGCAGTGCTGTTTACTAGCATGGAAATGTGAAATATATAAAAATGTAATATATTTGCACACGAGCAGACATTTTCTGAAGAAGGCTTCTATTGTAGTTTTCTAGATTCATGTCTATCATTATCTCATGTCTTTATTAATAACTATATAGCAGGCAAATTCTGGCTCATTGTTTCTTGGGGACCTCTTAATTTCTGTTGATAGGTTCAGTGACTGAATTTGTGCAGAACAACCTTTATATGGAAATAAAGTTGGGGCTGTTTTACTGGCTCTGCTCAACTGCAGAACCAGCTCCACAGCACCTGCTGGGGTTACTTCTGTGAGTAAGCATTCTATGCAAACTCACAGAGTATGCAAAGAAGACATACGAAGACACCCTATTCAATAATTACTTAATCCAGGTCACAAATAAGGGGGTATTTAGCCTCACACACACACCACTGCAGAAGAGGCAAGTCTATAGAGGAGATGGTCTTGTCCCAATGGAGGTTTCATGGAGTGCCATCACATGAAAAGGATTCTTTGCTCCTTGGGCTGTGAGAGAATCAGTGATGGAGGGGTTGAGTCTAGACAGTCCTCTTGTGCTGAATTTGAAGTAGCATCTGAGTAGATTAGATTGCTTTGAAATTCAGAACAGACTCTGTATGGGTTGGCAGCTGAATGGCATGCCAGTGCATGACAGAAAGCCTATGCCGAAAGGATAATGGCTCCCATACTGTCTATATATGAATGTCTACATTGACCCTAACAGTGCTGTCCTAAAAGCAGTTCGACCACATGAAGTGTTTTGGAACATTTCGTGTTCCAAGAATGCAAGCGTAGGTGGTTGGCGAACTGATGCTTAACTGCTTTTGGGATGATAATGTGAGGAGTGAGAACTGCGGTCCTAAACAGAGATCTGGAGGGCGTGAGGATTTACTTCCAAGGGTCCGTGTGACATTTTATTGCTTGGCAGCTGCCATTTTCTGGGCTCCACGTTCCAGAATCCAATGGTCGCTTTGGCCAGTGACTGTGCTGGAAATTTCTCAAGCACAACTTTTCTAAGCCCATAGGAGAGGATATGATAAGATTGGTCCTTCAGCTGCCACCCACATCCTCTTTGTGCCACGCCCTTTTCCTTGCACATATGTGATGTGAATGGCGCCTTTTGTGCTTTTCAGCATGCACAAGCCTAGTCTAGTGACTAAAAGAACTGGTGTGCTTAAATTGTCTCCATTTTGATTTATACAAGGAGCCTTAGCATTGAGTTCTTAGGATCACATCAATATCCAGGGAGATCTATGTGTGTCAGTAATATAGCTGGTTTCAAAAATGCCATATTTAACCTTAAGGCAGGTATGCTAATCACAGACAACACTTTGGATTGTACTAATTCTGTCTGTTCTACCACTTATGGCCTGTAGTATTTGTAAAGGGAACCTTTTTTTGCCGTTCTATATTTTTGTTGACTCGCTAAAGATGTTGTGTTTGTATAAAAGTATAGATTTCTAAGTGGAGTTAAAATGTAAAGAATGTGCAGTTATCCTCCTACGTATATCAAATACATGCTGTATATTTTGCTAGATTATAACTGTACAGAGCCACCTTTAAACACTGATACTTTGGTACAACTCGAAGAAAAATGACAGAGGGGAGAAAAGTGGGAGTCTTCAAAGCAATACACGCATTGTCCCGAGGACATTTTGTAACTTTGTAATATTGCATGTGCTTAATTTTCGTTTTTAAATGCTTTTTTTTAAAAAAAAATAAGTGTTTGATATCTAGTAATAATAAAACATGGCAAATAGACATTTTGTTTGTGTGAGTTTCTTCAGTCTGTGTACTTGCTTAATTCACTCCCAGATAGAACTGTGGACAGTGTTCCCTTCAGTGACAACCCTGTGATGTATGCAGTGGGTTGTGACAGTAGAAAAGACAGCAGAGAAACCCTCTCTATTTTCCTCTTCTCACATTTTTTTCAGATTAGGCATCCTTCAGTCTCGAGAGCCTATGGTAACGTGCTCTATATGGAGGACTTGGAACAGCATCTAGTGTGGCTGAGAAGGCCAATTTGAGAGTGACCATCCCTTCCACACGGAAGACAAATCCAATCTGCCCCCTCGGCCTGCACCTGAATTTGCTGATTTCGGGACTTCCTCTTTGCCTCGGCCTGCTGGACAAGGGTCTCTTCAAATTGGGAGAGGCCGTGATGCACTGCCTGCCTCCAGGCTGAGCGCTCAGATGTCAAGGTTTCCCCTCTGTTGAGGTCCATTCCTAAGGCCTTCAGATCTTGTTTGCAGATATCCTTGTATCGCAGCTGTGGTCTCCCTCTGGGATGATTTCCCTGCACTAATTTTTCATGCAGGAAATCTTTTGGAATCTGACCATCAGCCATTCTCACAACATGCCCGAGCCAATGTAGACATCTCAGTAACACACACACATTTTAAAAATATTCTTCTAAGTGACACAGTGCTATTTCAGAGATAAGAGAGTATCCATGCTAGGTTGATATATTGCGGTAGTGCTATGTCACTTACTAAACTAAACCCAAAAAAAAGGAAATCACCATGGCCTGCAGAATAATAGCTGTGACAAAAGGATAGGAAAGAAGTGAGTGTCGGTAATCGAAAAGGAGAGGAATTGGAGTGATCGGAAGTGTTGTTTGGATCCATCTCATGGGAAGAGAAATGTTTGCCATGTGAATGGAAGGATTACTCAAGTGTGAGATAAAGCAGATTGCACTGAAGACAAGAGCCTTTTAAATGTGACGTAGATCACTCCAAGGTCCCTCATCTAGTCACACCCTAAGTCTTTTCTTGGAGACCAAGAGGATTTCTAGTTTAGTGACAAAGCACCAAAGTTTAGAAAAGTTGCTCTCTTTTTTTAAGACAAACCATCAGAGCCCTCCCAGTCAAATTGGCTAGGTCCTGGGAGTTTTAGTTTTAAAAGGTAACTATTCCAAGCTCTAGGTCAAACCCTGGCATTTCAGTTAAAGAGAGAAAGGCTGCCAAAATCCTCTGGAAACGATCCTGGGGAAAGGTCCACTGGCAGATACTCTTAGGTGGGAAGCTCAGAAAAGGCCATCAGCACTGATAATCACCCTGGATCTACAAGCTGCCATATATTTCCCACAATGCTCTAGTGTTTTGTTACTGCTCACCACTAGGGTTAGGAATGCCTTGTTCCCAGCGGGTCACCGCTGATGTGGGACCCATTAGAGACAGGGTCCCCTCTTGTGTAGAGCTAGCCATTCCCATCCCTTCCCAGAGGTGGGAAAAGTGAAGTTTTTTGAATGTAAATCCCAGAAAAATCCAACCAGCAAGACTACAAGTGAGATAGCTTCATATGGGACAGTTTCACGTGTCCATAAAATTCGAAAACCATTGCAGCTACACTGGGTCGGGGAAGCTTATGGCACCTTAAAAGATGGACCAATTTTATTTGGCATATGTTTTCTAGGGCTGCATTTGGCTTTCCCTCTAGAAATTCAGTTCCCATTGATTCCAGTATGTCTACTTCAAGGATAATTAAACTTTGGCTGAAACTCAGTATGTGTGACTGCTCATCTTCCTTTTCACTTGGAATAATCATTTTTTCCCCCTTCCTAGGGAAGAAGATTGGGTTTAGACAGAAATTTTGAGTACACCATTCTATGAATTGGATGCCCTTAGGCCAGTAAGCATCTCTCAGTCCCGTCTCCCCAAAGGTGCTTTTCTGACTTCCCTCTGTGGGTTCCTCCTCCTCCAAGGAGGACAAAGCTCTCTTGGAGGGTTCTGTGGATGAGCTTGGCCTCACAGTGGATGGTCCAAGCAAAAAAAAAAATAACCCACCCGAGGTGCTGCCTGCCCTGCTGGGAGAAGCGGAGAGGATTCTGTCTCTTCAGACAGAAAGGCAGCCTCCAAGAGGGATCTCGGCCAGCTGCCCCAGGGTGGGATCCAAGCCAAGCCAAGATGAAGTTACCGCTCTGCCTCAAAAACATTGCAGCTGTCATGAGTAGCTGATTAACAGCGACTGGTGTAAGAGAGGGTCCTCACACTGAGGAAAATGAAGAGTCCAAACCGCCAAGCACTGCTGAGAATTGACGTCCGTTCCTGGCCGGCCTTGCTCCTCTGCTCCCACATTTCAGGAGCTCTTTAGTTAGAGCCGCACTCCATTCAACGGGACCCAGCCTGCATCTCAATTATGCCTCTGCCTGTTCCTTCACTGCATTGCTGGCATCGAAAGGCCTTGCTTTAGGGAGAGACTCTATTCTTCTTCCTTTGACTTTGGCTCTTGGCTCCCCAGTTTCCCAACTCACCCTGGCCTTGGGCATTCCCTCCATCTCCACTCCCAAGCCAACTACACCAGAGCACAGGTTGCTGTCCTCTGAAGACGCCCATGGCCACAGAGACTGGCGAAACGTCAGGAAGAACAACCTTCAGGACACAGCCAAAGAGCCCGAAAAACCCACAACAACCATTCCTTTTTCCCTCTGGCCAAGATGGCCTTTGTAGGGGGCTAACTCGTGGCTCACAGGAACTTGCTGTGTGAAAATAGGACAGCATAACTGTCACAGAACATAGGGGCACTAGTATGATGTAACACTGTTTAAATGGGACCTGAGAAGCACAGGCTCTGTTCCCTAACGAGTGATGAAACTCACCAGGTGACCTTAAGCTGGTCAGTCTTTCAACCTGGTCTATATCAGAAAGGTGTGGGGATCAAAAGCAGGGAACCATTAAGGCCAACCTTGTGCTGAATTGAGTTTTCTTTACTTTGCAAGGTGCTTTTGAC